AAACTAGACTGACAAAAACATTTGATATCAATTGTTTTATAAATGGCTGGCTATGGTAAAACTCTCGTGGGTGGTTTACACCATGTCGTGTAATCACCTCAGGCGTATGGCTTAACTGAACCAGATTCCAACACCCACTGGTTGCATGCGAAGCTATTGACAGCTATCACTTCCCCTCTCCAGTGTATAGGTTTTTCTCATAGCGACTACAAAGCACGTTCACACCAACACTATGTTTGAACGTTTGTAAGATTTCACACAGGTGTTGTGACCTTGCTCAATGGTCAGCATGAAACAGCGGGTGTTGGTTGGTAAGAGTCCTCTTTGGTCATTTTCTAAAACATAATCGTTAAAGTACACTCTGCTTCAAAGACTAGCGGTAGGGTAAGGTGTGAGTGAAATATATTATACAAGACGATTATTATTAAGAGACATCCCCACCGCTGAGGAATGATCGTCGTCATGGTAACTACTGTATAGCCCGGAGAAGAACAATGCTTATTGGTAAATAATGAACGAGCAATTTAGAAATATTTGTATTATTAAGAAGATTATAATAATAACGAAGTTATCACAATCTTGCTTTTCTTATGAAACAGGTTTATCTTCTTTCGCATTCTTATTTGTTAAATGTTTTCAAATCTCCTAGTGAGTCAGCGATAAGTTTACCGACTTAAATACTAATCCGCAGTTCGCTCTCCTGTGGTGGACAGAAAGTATATATATATAGCCCATTGTGTAGCTTTGCACTAAAAACACACAAAAAAAATATTTCAAAATGAAATATGCATTATGTCAGCACTTCTTTTCGCCTGTGCACGCGATTCTCTTACGTCACGAAATACTAGATATACGTAACCACATGGTGGTTTGTTTGTTTGAAGTTAAGCACAAAGCTACACAATGGGCTATCTGTGCTCTGCCCGCCACGGGGATCGAAACCCGGTTTCTAGCGTTGTAAGTCCGCAGACATCCCGCTGTGCCACGTTGGAGAGATGTGTTATTAAAATACTAAACCCATTGATAAAAAAAAATATTTTTTAGTATATGCTTTAGTAGAAGTTTGCAGTTGTATTTGAAACATTTTGTAATAAAAGAGATGACGAAACACAAAGGTTTACATAAACTTACCAAAATACAAGTCTGAACTTTAATTTCGTTTGGATGAACTGGTAAATCTTTTTTTTCTTCTTTTTACCACAATAAACAACAAGTAAAATTATGGAGTTAACCTTTTTCATTCTACATTTTATTGAAATTAAACTTCCTTCACAACAGATCTGCGCACAAAGTCTGCGCAGCTTATGAATTCTTGCTAAAATATGATAAGTTAGTAAGCTAAAAACCTTTTGTTATAGTATACCAAAGACCTAGGAAGCGCAAGTTGTAGATCGGGTGGAAATATTCCTTACAATAAGTGTCCAAAAGGTACGGGAAGAATTCCGAATCATGGAAAATGTAAAAAATCGGAAGGAAAAAAAGAGGGAAAAAGAAAAAGGAAACTGAGGAAATAGAAAAATGGGTAAAAACGAAATTATATATTACTGATTATTGGCTTTTGTTGCTGAAGCCGCGCTGCTAAGGCACTGATCTCAACCGGTCAGAAAACGTTTTAGGAGCGTTGATTGAGGGTACAGGATAAATCTATGATTGTTTTGGAAGTATATCAAGTTTACCCCTGTTACCTGTTTGAAAGTATATTAAGATTATCCTGTTACATGTTTGGAAGTATATTACGTTTACCCTGCTACATATTTGGAACTATATCAAGTTTACCCCTGCTACATATTTGGAACTGTATCAAGTTTACCCCTGTTACATGTTTGGAAGTATATTAAGATTATCCTGTTACATATTTGGAAGTATATTACGTTTACCTTGCTACATATTTGGAACTATATCAAGTTTACCCCTGCTACATGTTTGGAAGTATATTAAGATAATCCTGTTACGTGTTTGGAAGTACATCAAGTTTACCCCTGCTATACATCTATGACATACCATACTTACTAAAACATTACTATCATAGAACAAGTTTTAATTTGTAATGGAAGATAAGAACATCTTACCATGTTGTCACTTATTAAAAATAAATTAACACAGCCTTTTACTAAAATTATTGAAACTTGTTAATTGAAATATATCGTATTTGATGCACTTGAGAAAAACTATTTGTCTTCCAAAGTATTTTTCTCCTAAGTAAAAACGAAATTTGGCAAACAATAAAAATCCAACTGTTAAAGTGTTCTAGATTCTTTGTAATGTTTTATCATCTTTTTGTTAATGTATGAAACACAGTAATAGTAGTTAAATATCCAAATAATATAACAGTTATATGAAGAAAGTAGTTTTCTTACCATCTTCAAACTCGTTTTAGTTCATAGCCTTAAATGTAACCAAACACACATTGTTACTGACACAAAAAGAAAACCTTAAGATTTGTGTTTGATTCAGATTCGTTCCCTGCTGGCTCAGTGGTATGCTTGAGGTTTTAAATCGTTTAGATTCGAGGTTCGATTCATGCTGCGGACATAGTGCAGGTTGTCCGTCTTTTGCGCTAAAGTAAACATGATTAGAGTTATCCTTTATGTTAAGGTTTTGTTTTGTTGAATTTAGTCTATTTACTTTTTTTTATAAATAAAAATTAATTATATGCAAGCTACCTTAGGTTCCCATGATTTATTTTACTTTCCTCTTGAGCAAAATAGCAGGTGTGATGAAATACGTGATATTTATCAACGGAAAATTTATTCATAGTGAAGACATAAAAGAAACTGTTCGATGGAAGCATAGCGAAGTATTCAGTAAATTTTTTGCTAATAGTTAATCATAAAACATTAGACTTTATTAATAAATAACTACTGATAATCACAAGAGAATCGACAGGGAATGGCCTACTTTAGCGTGCCAGCTACGAATCCCTACTAGTAGGGGGTCTTGGGTGCATTAAAGAAGTGACTGTCAAATCCCACTATTCGATTAAAGTAGTCCAAGAGTTGGCGGTGAGCGTTGATCATTATAACTCTATCAGCTCAAAATTAGAGACGGCTAGCGAAGGTAACGTTTTGTAGCTTTGCGTGAAATCCTACAAAACAAACCAATTGTTATTCTGGGTTCTAGGCTATATAAGTGAAAGTTTACTTCTAGTATAATTTTGTTTGACTTTGTTTCCATCATTAAGTGTACACATTATAAATAAATGTTTAACATCAGCTTCTGTTTATTCCTAAAAAAGTTCCATGCCTTGTTCGACCAAAGTAAAGAAAAGATAATACAACTATACATACAGAGTATGGTAGTCATGAGTCTCCTCAATAAGATGTATACTTATACACAACTCTTCAAACGTCATTAAATCAATTTCGTGAAAGTTCTCACCAAGAGAACGACATATTGTGTATTAGTTTATTCACGTAAAAGCTAACCCTAACAAAGTTTGTGGACGTCTGAACATGAATACAATGCAAGAATGTTGAACATTAACTTCAGTAAGACGACAAAAATTTGAGCAAATCGTTTTATTCTTAAAAAACTGAATAATATATTTATACGTTACGTTTCACGACGTTTATGTATATACAGAAATACGCACAGAAGTTATCGTATCAAAATTTATATATATATAAACAATATACAGATAGAAACTGCGTTCGATAATGTATACATTCATGAGTGCTCTGAGCTACTGTATATCATCTCCATCAATTCATCTTACATCTTGGAAAGAAGTGTCCTCTACATTATAAGGCACAACTTTGAACAGTTATTGACCACTCTAACTTATAACAATCTTTAGGAGTATCCTTCCGCGGGAGACTTGCTTAAAATGTGTTTATTATATAAAAGTATAAAACTTCTAACAAGATTTAAGAGTATTCTTCCGAGGGTGTTTATTAAACAAAAGACTAAAACAATTCAGCCTTAGATTTAAAAAACGAATTGAGGGGTTTAATAAACGTTCAGTAAGTTTAGATTAGCAATAACTTTCATTCAGGATAAACTCACACGTTAACACTCTTATTACAAACCTAACATTTACATATCTACCCTTATCAAGGCACTGGTGGCTTGGTCATAAGGTCAATACCTATTGGATAATAGCAACGTATTTGGGGAGATCCATATTAATGCCCTCTCATTTATACAAGATACATGTATAACTAACGAAGAGAAAGTTCATTCTATCATACACGTGCTTGCATCAGTTTGACTGTGGTAGAAAGACAAGGTCAATTTCACGCACTACATTAACATGATATATATAACGAACACACCTACATCTAGAACAATAGGGGAAGATTTCGTCGTTGCGCATCACTGGAAGCTCCGTATCCGGCAGGTCCGTAGCCATATGCTGACATGTAGGCTGAAGCTGCGTACGATGCTGGACTTGGATGGGTTATACTAACTGGAACTTGACCGGTGGACATGCCTGGCATCTGGGAATTTATGGAAGGTAGTCCTGGAGGGTAGAATCCTGCTGGCCCGTAGAGGGAACTTGCTGCTGTGCTGGTAGAGAGTCCAGCAAAGTCGGTTTTGTATGTGACGGATGGGGACACAGGAGTGGAAGTAGGCTTAGCAAAACTAGGCGAAGAGTCCGAAGATGTTAAAGGTGTATTGTACGGTACACCCATGGGGTAAGGAGAGAAAGAGGAGGCTTGCAGAGCAGCCGCTGCCAGTTGCTGTTGTTTCTCTGAGTATCCAACAGCTACCTGTTGCATGGCAGTGGAGCTCATATAAGCACGCGGATCTAGATGACCAGGGAGGTAGGGCAGAGAGAATGGATAAACTTCTGGTTTTTTTACCTGTGGTTTTGGTTTTCTTCTTGGTCTATACTTGTAGTCAGGGTGTTCCCGCATATGTTGCTCTCTCAACCGCTTGGCCTCGTCAATAAAAGGTCGCTTTTCGTCTTCACATAGCTGTTTCCATTCAGCCCCAAGTCTCTTGCTGATCTCCGAGTTATGCATCTTAGGGTTTTCTAGAGCGATCTTCCGGCGCTGAGCACGGGACCACACCATGAAAGCATTCATGGGTCGTTTGATGTGTTCTTGTTTATCGCCTCCCGGGCTGGTGACGCTACTTATCCCGTCAACCATTGTCATCATGTAAACAGCTCAAATACTCGTAACACTAGGACACTGGGCACACTGCTCACTTGTTTGGAAGTGGATATGCTTGTGCAATTACCGAGTATTTGAATCCAGCCTCCAGGATTCACTTCGCTTTGATTGGGTGAGCAAACGGGGCCTTACCGAGCATGCCAATCATGTTTGATCAAGAGACCAACCTAAAATGTCCCGCTCAGAGCCCATTGTTGAATACGTATAAAGAGAGGAATCACGGGGGAGGGGGAAATATACGTTTTGAGCAATTTTCTTGTTTATACAATTCATAATTTTCGAAGAACCACAAGCCAAAAACTTTTCTTGATATTATCTCTTTTATATTGTGGGAAAAATAAATACACGTATTTCAATTAGCTATTTGTAGTTTATAAACGCTTCTTTCAATTGATTTGGATCATAACATTTCAAACTGATTATAAAAAAATACCATGTACTGTGTTATTGTAATTTATACAATATTGCTGTTTGTTTTTGGATATTCGTGTAAATCTACACAAATGGCATAGTCAGCCCTAATTTTGAATTAATTATGGACTAGAGGGATGACAATCATTCTTATAGCACGCTCGCGGTCCTAAAGAGCAGAGCGTGTTTTGAAGGCAATACGACGCAGAGCATAAATCGTAAAATCACAGTCCAGGCACACCAACCACTAGGCTAATACTAGATGTACTTCCACAGGGTCCCCGAAAGTGTTCTGTTTCAAGAGTAAAAAACAAACAAAATTAAGAGTAACAAATATTTTTATTTCTTGCTTTTTAAAATTCATATGTCATGCTATGTTGTAACAGAGTGCATAATTCTTCTCGTGATACTGACGTCACGACAGTACAAATTGCAACGTTAACTGTCCCTTATGTGACGCAGTTTTAGTGTCTACTGACTGACTGACAGAAAATACACTACTACGAGTGATTAAAACAGATGACTCCTCCAGGCAGCCTTCAGCCCCCTTTTGGGAAGATTAATTAATGGACCACTTACAAAATTTAAACTTCAATAAATACCATTGAAAAAGCATTCAAAATATGAAAAAGTAACGTTTATTTTTAATTTCCTCCGTCTTTTTTGTTGTCTTTTATTCAATTTTTTCAACAATTTATTAGATTTAGAATATTAGTTTTCCTGGATGTTACCTTTTCCACTTATATCAAAAGTTTACTGAAATAATAAAGTGTTTCTTCTAAGGCTTACATTTCACTTTGTCTTTTTTTTTTTTTTAGTTGTATTTGTATTTTGCATTTATGGCCAAGCTACAAACGCCGTCTATCGCCGCCTCTAACTTTGAGCTACCGAACAGAGGGAAGGCAGCCAGTCAGCAGCTCCCTACCATCCACTATCATCGCTATGAAACCGAATGTCACTCTTATAACGCACCTACCACTTTCATCTATCCATCTTGGTAGGTATTTAGGTGTTAAACCAGGGGTGGTCAGGAATTTTTTTTTTCCTCTGCACCCCGCTCTTGGTTTATTTGATGTGGTGTTTCTTAGATCTTACACTTAAAAGCGTGTAGAATATTTTGTGGTATCGCATGGATTCGTACCGGCTGGCCAACTCCGAAATCCGGACCTCTACAGCAGGGCCAAATCACTCCATTTTCTTGACTTGTACAAAATAAAATCATCGAAAATTAACATAACCGTTTGTAACAGTTATTTTATTATTACTATTCAGAAGTTTTAGATCAAATTGCTCTTATAGTTGATCCACAGTTGTACTAAGTTCTAACAAAATTAATATAATTGTCCATGCTTCTTTTTCTCGTTAGAAATATAATATTTTCATACAACCTAGAGTGTATAACATGCGTAATAACAATGAGCAATATCTTATTTACACGATAGGCCACCAGGGAGCCCTTCATCAAGGTTAAACCAGTGTTAGCGGACACAGGTGATGAGTTCAGCAGGAAATCATGGCATAACAGTCGATCAACTAAACCTGAATGTTAAATATTCGTACAATAGAAAAACGTTAGAAAAACCATATGGACTTTTAAATAAGTAAAAAGTAACAATCACACAAATTCATATATTCATACATACCTTTGTTACTTATATACATGCATTGCTTCCTTCCTACTTCATGCAACTGTTTTCTTGTAAAATTGGATAGAAATAGTAGAACGTTAGATATGTATATGTATACTAAATATATATATATATATATATATAATAATATATGTTTGTATATCTATATATAGATAACAATGTGGACAAAAACGAAGAGAACATTTATATAAAAAGGTAAAACACTTGAAAGAACTATTCGTCATTAATGTTTCACCATATCCGTTCACCATTTTGTAAGAACGTATTTTACGAACGAAATATCTAAGAGATCTGTATAACTAATGACAAACTTATTTCATCATTGCTCTAAAAATTATATCAAACATTATTACAGACTTCATCCTCAACTCGGCGCCAACAATTAATCCTATATATTTAATATTGTTATTGAAACCATATATATAATATTGCGCAGGCTTTACCTACTCTTAATTCTGACAAGGCTTTATCCCAATATTGAAGCCCCCTTCCAATCCTGAGTATACCTAATACCATTACTTACACCTACATATACTATTGTACAGGCTTTATCAACTCTTAACCCTTAGCAAGCTTTCTCCCAAGATTGAAGCCCCCTTCTAATCCTGAGTATACTTAATACTATTACTGACATCTATATATATACTATTGTACAGGCTTTATCAACTCTTAACTCTTAGCAAGCTTTATCCCAAGATTGAAGCCCCCTTCTAATCCTGAGTATACTTAATACCATTACTTACACCTACATATACTATTGTACAGGCTTTATCAACTCTTAACTCTTAGCAAGCTTTATCCCAAGATTGAAGCCCCTTTTT